GAAGAAAACAAGTCATGCCCAGTAGTCCGTCCTTTTAGTAGAATAAACTTCAAAAGATCTTCTTTAATCGTAATATCACTAAAAACCATCCTGACGAACACGGCCATCTGAGAGGTGTGAACCACATCTGTGGATTCATCCAGCTGCAGTGAAAAATGAGCACAGTTATCGAAGTCATTTATTAACTTTAAATCTATACCATTGCTCATTACTTCTACTCGTCTCATCACTGTATTAGCAGAAAATTGCATAGATTTTATAGCAGACAGTATCTCGTATCTACTTCTAAAGTTGGCAAATAATGAATCTGCAGCTTCTAAAAGTCTTTATAAGCTTTCTCCTTTTGTGTAATTATCTGGAACACCCGGTATGATGCTTCAGTTGCAGCCTTACTCTTGTCGATTGTTTCTAAGAACATTTTCTGTTGTCCAATTAACTGATTTTTTAATTGTTTCAGTTTTTCTGTTCTGGTTTTAAAAATTCGAATGTACAGTTTTATAGTGCCTCTCGATATTCCCTCTTTTAGCAACGGAAACAGCTGTATTATATAACAAACATACATTTTTACTTTTAACTTCCGTAAAGAAATATTGTTCTTCACATTCCGAATGGTGATGGCATGTCTTCATCTGCTTGATTGATTTTTACACCTTTTTAAAATATGTTGTGAGTCATCAGAAGTGCCTTTGCGAGCTATCGTTAGCTCGTGATCGACGGGTTGGCGACCACTGCTCTGAAACGTAAAAAAACAGAGTTTCTCGGAAGGTTTTGCGATTACAATACTTCCTCGCCCAGTGGCCTAGGAAGTAAAATGAGATTATCCAGGGTGCGGCAGAGAGGACGGACGTTTTTGGGATGGGTTGTACCCTCCGCCACCGTCTACGAGAGAGGTGAGGAGGGTGCCGTTTGACCCGTAAGATCCTAGCCAGTGTTGCCATACGTAGCGGAATTCCGCTATTTGTAGCGGATTATTTTGAGAAGAGCGGCGTAGCGGCGGTAGAGCAAATTAGCTCAAAATGTAGCGGAATTTATTACATACAAAACTATCATATTTATTTCACTATTTTAACGTTAATTACGTTCTAAATCCTAAATAGGCAGTGGCTATTATCACATTGATAATAAAATTGGTGCATTTGGTGCCGCTTGAGCCATCTAGGAACATAGAAGAGAATTATTCCACTTGCCTTTTTTTTCAATAACAGATGGCGTACGTACTGCTTTCAATACTAATCGTTTCTAACAGGTCTCAGCAGGCAGACATAATATTAGGTTTCTCGCTTTGTATTGTATTTTTCAGCTCTGGGTATATACTGTTTAGTTTCGTTTATATTAGTGTTGATCATTTTATTGATATATCATTTGCTGCAGATTTTAATATTAAATCTACTGGTAAGTAACAAAACTGCTTAAATATCTAACATATTATAGTTTGATCCAGAAATAAATCTTAGTCGCGAAATTTGTTTTTAACGCTTTTTCTTCTGGAAAATAGGAATAATGGAAAGGCGACAGCAGACCATTAACGATTTTTTTGATAAAAAAACGGTGAAACCAAACGTGGCCGTACCATCCACTTCGACTGCATCTGTGTCGGACTCGGAGCATCCCGAACCTGAATATAGAAAAGGAACAGCGGAATCTAGTGGAATCAGGTCTGAGCCTGATAATTCGACTTGCGAATCTCAGGATAACCAAGAGCCAGAGCAACCTGTTAAGAAAAAGACACGAAAACAAATGTTTACTTCATCATGGCTAGAAGATCCGTTATTTAAAGGCTGGTTGGGACCTATTGAAAATGACAAGTTGAAAGCAAAATGTAAAGATTGTAATCAAATAATGGGTGCTAAAAAATCAGATTTAGTGAATCATTCGAAATCAAAAAGGCATGCCACTAATGTACAAGCAATTTCGAATGTAAGCACGTTAGATAGCACTTTTCAGTCTCGGGAAGCACGTGAGTTGGAAAAACGGCAAATATTTGCTTGCTTAAGATATAGTCTTTTAGTTGTAAGTTATTATATAAGTTTTAGAACTGTTGATCATATAACAGGAGTTAGTCAATTATATTTTAAAGACCCAGATCTCTCTAGCTCACTTAAATTAAAAAGATCCAAATGCATAAGGTTAGATGGTAGAATAGATATATAATCTAAATCTCGCCTCCTGTAAGAATATTACAAATAAAAGACGTTAATTATTATTATTAATTAAAAATGTGCTGGCTCCTGTTATTAAAGACGAAATAATTTCAGAATTGGAAAATAAACTATTATCTATTTTATTGGATGAGAGTACAGACCTGAGCAATACAAGACTACTATGCATTCTTGTAATGTATATTCATAAAAATTCAATTAAAACCCATTTATTAGGTATAATTAAAATAAACGCAGATGAAGGTATCGCCAAAGGTTTATATTCTCTTTTTAAAAAATGCTTTATATCCAATCAAGTAAATATTACCAATATTGTTGGATACTGTTCCGACAACACTAGTGTTATGATGGGCAATAACGAATCTTTCAAAACTTATCTTTTAAAAGATAATCCTAATATAATTGTCAATGGCTGCATTTCCCACTCTACTCATTCAGTGGCGGTGGCGGCAGCTGAAAAGATTCCTAGCAACGTTGAAGCTCTTTTACAAAACTTATATTCTTACTTCTCAAGAAGCCCAAAAAGGCAGTGTGTTCTTGAAGAATTACAGGAATATTTCAAAAAGTCAAAATTAAAAATGTTAAGTCCTAGTAAAACAAGGTGGCTTGCTTTATCCAAATGTGTTGACAGAGTTTTGGATCAGTGGGACATCTTGCTTAGCCTATTTAGATTAGCTTCCATTGAAGACAAAAATCCTGTAGCAAATGTAATACTTAATGAGTTACAGAATCCATTTGTTAAGGCGTATTTAATGTTTTTTAAATTCGTGTTGCCCATTTTTAACCAATTTAATGCTCTGTTTCAATCAGAGAAAGATCCCCACTGCTTATTACCAATTGAACAAGTGAATATTGGTCCGCATACAATGGATGCAATAAAACATTGCAATAACACGGCAATCGAACAATTTAAATTAAAATGTGTCACAGTTTACCAAAAATCGGTAGAAGGGTCCCTTAAAAGATTTCCTATTAAAGACAACTTCTTTTCAGAGCTAAAGTTTCTCTCACCGGTTGATGTGATGAACAATCGTCTTATTATAAGTGATAGCTTTCATGACGCCGTTTTAAAAAAAATTTCCCTTCATATTGAAACCAAAAAGGCAATTTTGGAACTAAAGAAAATATGTATTTATTTTAGTGATAGTAAGAAAGAGAGAATTTTATAAACAAAAAGTAATGTCATTGAATTTTGGTCGTTTGTAAGCGACCTCAAAAATTTTAATGACGAATATTTATTTCGCAATATAGGTAAACTGGCTCTAATCATTTTAACATTGCCTCATGGAAACGCTGATGTTGAGCGAACTTTTTCTTATATGCTTGATTACAAAACAAAAAAAAGAAATAAAATAATACCATCAACTTTGTCTGCACTACTTACAATTAAATTAGACTTGGAATCAAAAAAACAGTGCTGTTTACCCTATAGTTTTAATGAGAATCATTTAAACAAATATAAAAAGAATTTATATAATGTAAATAAGGAAGAACAAGCTGAAGAAGAAGTAATTTCTGATTCTGACTGTGAATAAAATAAGCAAACGTAGGCATTTCCACGTTTCCGCTTCTTCTTTGTCCTTATTTTTTGTTTTTTTTTTCTATTAAGATTAAGATATTGGTTTCTATTTTTTTATTAGTTCCTAATTCTAAACCAAAGACAGTTTTGTTTTTTTGGAGGTATACTTTTTATGTTTTTACGAAAAATTGCAATTATATTATGTTACTGTTTGTATTTTTAGTAGGGTTTTTAGACAGTGTTTAAAAAAAAGTAAATATGTAAAAAATATATTTGTTGTTTATTTTAAGCCTCCCTTAAATTTTTAGACCGTAGCGGCATCTAGTGGAATTTTGCGATACGTGTGACGGATATTTTAAACTTCGCTCTGGCAACACTGAACCTAGCATTATTTTACCAGTTGTCGTTATGGAGCCTTGGACAATGGAGCACCGCGTTTTCGCCTATGAGTGACGAAGCCCAGTTTCACCTAAACAGCATGGTTAACCAGCAGAATTGTCGTTATTGGGCTAATGAAAATCCGCAACAGTTACACGAAAGACCGCTGCACAGCCCAAAAGTAACGGTTTGGTGCGCTGTATCGCAAACTTGCATCATTGGCCCTTACTTCTTCGAAGACGATAATGGTCGTGATGTTACCGTGAACTCAGAGCGCTACGTCGACATGATCACCAACTTCTTTCTCCCTGAATTACGACGGCGACGTGTTCCAATCCGACGTGTGTGGTTCCAGCGACCGCCCATACAGCCCAAGCATCCATGGACGTTATTCGCCCTCTCTTCCCTGGACGCCTTATTTCCAGGTTTGGCGATGTTCATTGGCCTCCTCGGTCCCCAGATTTATCCATATGCGATTTTTTCTTATGGGGACACCTCAAGGCTAGAGTATACGCGAACAAGCCCCGAACTCTGGACGAATTGAAGGGCGAAATTCACGTGGAAGTCGCCCAAGCTGAGAGAGCGATGTTGGCGAGAGTCTACGCACTGCATCAACGATTTCGGCCACCACGAGCCTGATGTGATTTTCCACACTTGACTGCCTCAAATGCTATTTCCTTGTGAACCTGATTCCATCAATAAATTTGTTTTCGAGTAAAAATTAACTGTTTTATGATTTTTTTGAAACCGTCCATCCTCTCTGCCGCACCCTGTACTATGAAACGCTATGCAATCAATACATACAGTTACATGATGCAACACCATTCCTCCTGTCATCCTTGTTTGTGGTATCATATTGAACAGCTTCATTGCTTGGAACGAATCACATGTAGGGTCTTAAAATCCACATTAAATAAAGATAATCTTCCAATATAACCTTGTAGTCCTCTGAAGACAGAAACAATGAGGGACGAAGACGACTTGTTTCTGTTCGCCCAGCTGGATAACCTGAGTAACAACATCGGAAGCCTCAACAGTGATTTCCAAATCGTCCAGGAGGTTGAGATTGATGAGCTAGGAGGCGGAAGCAGGAACAGTGATGTGGACGAAACTGTAATCGAGACGGACTTACGGAAGTCGCCCCCAGGAGGGTCCACGTCGCACTATGTGCGATACAAGCTTCAGGATGGCAAGCATGTTAAGATTTGGGAATGCGGAATATGTGAGTTAAGTTCATTACCGAAACTGTTGACAGCAAGGTTTTGTTGTCATGTGCTCATCTGAAAATTCATAAAATTCATCTAAAACAGTCATATGTATAAGCTGGGAATGACCGTTTGGGTATCTAATACCTTATCATACAGGGTGGCCGATATGTAGATGGCTGGTTTGTATCTTGAATATTTGTGTAGCTGTCGGTAAAAATCGTTATTTTGGGTATTAAGCTGCAATATTGCATGACTGTATTGTCGGCGACTTTCATGGTCACTAGGCTTTTGGCCTCAAATGCAAGCCTTTTTAAAAATAGTACATTTTGACGTGCGAAGAATACCCAGTTCATGAGTACGATGCCTGGTAGACGTCTCAAGGCGCTCCACTACAATTTCACGAACTCTCTCGATATTTTTCGGAGTACGAACAGTACGGACATGCCAAAACATTGGCAAACGTTCAACTTCATCCGCTTGTTTAAATTTCCGAACCAATTGAAAAGTGGTGTTGACACTGGGCACACTGTTTCGACCGAAATCTTGTCGTAGCTCCCGAATCGACTCATTACTTAAGTAAAACGTTTTAACAATACGGTCGCGTTGTGGGATGGTGTAGCGCTCCATGATGAATTGGACACATCTACGGTGCCACCTAAACTTTGCTGACAAATTCAATATCATCAACAGGCACTAATTTGGATTTCAGAAAAGTCTACAAAAGATGCAGTATTGTCTTTGTGTGACTTTGTCTTAACCTGCCTTGAACAGAAAGAAAAACCGTGTTGTGTCTTTATAGATCTATGCCGTGCTCTCGACATGTCAACTTTGCTATTTTAGTCGAAAAGCGTAATAACTACGGAGTCAGAGGAACCGCTTTAAATTGGATCGAAAGCTATCTATCCGACAGGGAACAAAGAGTGTCATTAATAAAGGAAGATGTAAATTATCTTCTAGCACCAAGGTTGTTTTAGCTGGTGTTCCGCAAGCAAGCATACTAGGGCCTCTATTGTTCTTGTTGTTTGTCAATGATGCGCTCATTTTCATGGAACCGCATTTTGTTACATTATTTGCCGACGATACCACGGTGGGGGCTAAAACTAAATCCAACTCAGCTCAGAACCGAGTTGTCAGGTGCATCATATCACATGGAGAGGTACTGTGTAAGGAATGGCCTAGTACTTAATGAACATAAGACGCAACTGATGCAGCTTTGTTTATGAGAGACAGATTGTGATATTGACCTGAAAATCAACGGAACCAGTGAACGAGTTTGAGGTCACTAAATTCCTTGGTGTTATGATCGATTCAAGGCTTAGTTGGAGAGATCATATTGACTGTTTAGTCAACAATATATCAAAGCATTGCTTCGTGTTATGGACACTTAGGCAGTTCGTAAGTACTGAAGTGCTTAGGATGTACTATTTTGCTCAGGTAGGGAAGGTGGGGCAAGATGCGGTAGCTAAGGATTGATTTGGAGTTATAGCTCAAATTCGTACTTTTTTTGAATATTTTTTATTTTATAGTATTCATTGGTTATAAGTGTACAAATAATAGCCGAAAACAAATTATTTTTTTTTAAACTGGGAAAACTGAAAAAGTAAGATTTTCCCCGTCTTGCCCCATAGGGGGTTTATAATATAATGTCAACATGAAAAGAATTAAACAACATTTAACCAAAATAAAATTGGATTGCCTAATAAAACTTAAAGGGACTGAAGCTCATAGTACCAAAAGAACTATTTCTTGGGTTTACACAATAAACAGATGTGCGCGGCTTCATCGTCATCATCCTCAACGTCTGCGCAACCGCAATGCGCCCATTTATTACACTTTATACAGTTTATCCAGCCCCCTACAGATTCGGAATATAATCCACTGCAATAGAGACGTGAGGTGTCTTCCTCATCGTCGCTTTCGTCAGTTGACTCATGTCTGGGACGCTTTCCTTTTTAGCTTATCTGATTTTCTGGTTTTCTTCTTACTTCATTTGTCTATCGATGCTCCTTTTGACTTTTAGTTGCTCCTTCTGTTGTTTTTCTTGTAATTCCTTCTCAAGCTCCTCCTTATAAGGCGAAGAGGTTATAACTAGAGTCTTCCCTTTTTTCCTAGTTTTGATTCTGTTTTTCTTTGTGGTAACCGGTGGTGGCAGTAGCTGCTTAGGACTAACTAGTGTAAATGACGTATTTTATGTTGGCGAATGAATTTGTTCCTCTCGACTTGTGTTCCAAAATGTACAACCTGGCTGAGGACTGGAGGACTGAGACTGTGTGGTGCTTGATGATTGCGTCGATGTATTAGGATTGCTCTCATTTAATCTTGGGTTTGTACTTTCCGCTGGATTTTGGAGAAAATTAGCTTGGGGTAATTGATCCTGTACTAAATTTGTATTAGTGGTCTCAGAAGCGATAAAATCGTATTCAGTGAAGACAGTAGGATTGCATGGCCAGATTTTGAACCCAGAGGTACTTTTAGTTTTTGTAAATTGTCCATTTTTTCTCTAGCCAATTTTACTTTTCGTTCCAACGTAGTTTGAGGAACCTCAAAAGATTTTGCAGCTAAGTAATAACCCATTTTATTTTCCACTACAGCTAAAACAGCATTCTACATCTGCTCTTCCGTCCAACCGCCTCTATCGGTTTTACGAACGTAATTTCGCACCATTCTGAAATGTAAAAAATATTGGATAAGTCTTAATCGGTACCACCCTACCTTGCCCCACGAGTGATACCCCATCATGCCCCTTCCTGCATTATATAAAAAAAATAAAAGCAACAAAAAATAATCTAGTTATTTAAAAAAACAAAAGCTCACCTTAATTTACAATGTCAAAAGCTTCCTCAGTACCCAAACTTAGCACTGTATACAAATATTTTGTAACAGTTTCACGCTTGTAAACAAATGCGAAAATAATAACGTAACCTTAAAAAACACGTGATTCCGCGCTGTCGTAAAAGCACGACCTATTGCAATGACGATATAGAAGCTACTGAAATAAGCAACACGTTGGCGTCGTTTCATGTGTAGTTCTCGAATTTAACACCTTGGATTAGCGGAATAATACGCGTACCCCATCTTGCCTCGTTACCCTACCTTGCCCCATCATCCCCTAAATTATCTTCTAGCACCAAGGTTGTTTAACTTTAAGGAAGCATACGAAGGCCTCTATTGTTCTTGTTGTTTGTCAACGATGCGCCCATTTTCATAGAACAGCATTTTGTTACATTATTTGCTGTTGGTGGGTTAAAACTAAATCCAACTCAGCTCAGAACCGAGTTGTCAGTTGCATCATATCACATGGAGAGGTACTGTGGAAGGAATCACATAAGCCGCAACTGATGCAGTTTTTTTTGTGAGAGACACATTGTGATATTAACCTGAAAATTAACGGAACCATAGTGAAAGGTTCAGGTCACTAAATTCCTTGGTGTTATGATCGATTCAAGGCTTACTTGGAGAGATCATATTGTCTGTTTAGCCAACAATATATCAAAGCATCGCTTCGTGTTATGGACACTAAGGCAGTTCGTAAGTACTGAAGTGCTTAGGATATACTATTTTGCTCAAGTAGAGTCAGCCATGAATTACTGTATCGTTTGCTGGGGTAGTAGCTCACATACATCGGATTTGCTAATTGTGCAAAAGAGATTGATTCGTACAATAACATTTAGTAATAAGCTAACTTCGTGTAGGGAAGTAATCAAAACTCTCCACATCATGACGATACACTCACTTTATATTTTTAATTGTGTATGTCATGTTCGAAAGAACTTTGAAAAATATGAATCGCTAAGCAATGTGGAAAGTGGTTACAATCTAAGGAATACATACTGTCTGCGTACCCCTCAATGCTTTCCAACGCCGAGTTAAAAGTCTATTAATGGAAAACCACTTTTACTGCATTGAAGAATACCTAACATCAGACTTGTCAATTGTATTAATGCAACCAAACTTGTCCAGAACAATCTCTATTGTCGTCACTGGCTCATCTCAAAATGCTGAAGATGTCTGTTGTTAAATTTCATGAAATAAAAGAGCTTTTGACTTGACCTTGGGTTTTGTTCCTGTACCAGTGTTGTAGGTGCAGCGGGGGTGCCTACAGACAGGGAGTGCCACTGCAATCATAATCATCTTTATTAAGTTTTGGTTAAAATGTTATGCGTCATTTATTTCAGGTTCTAAAGAGTTCACACACCAGTATACCTTACTTCGTCATCTACCAACTCATACGGATGAAAGAAAGTTTCAATGCAATACTTGTGGAAAAGGTATATCAAAACATATATAAATTCATAATACAATTTCTGAAACATATTCTATGGTTTCCTTACTGAATCATCTCCTTATCAACTTAGTGTTGTTGAATGAATACCTTCACTCGGTAGTCTTTCCAAAGGACAATCGATGTATCCCAGTGAACATACTGACGTCATAGTGTCGGCATTTTAGGGCACTACTGCAGAACGCCGACTAACATTCTGACTGTCTAATGTCACAATCAATTGGCGTCACAGTAATCAAATCCAAGCGAATAACCAAAATTTCTGTGTTATGTGCCGCGGTTATAATATGTTTCAAGATGACACACGGATTGATGACGTCAGTTACACGAATCGCTTGAACGCGTTGGTTTTAACCGCGGTTTTGTTGCAAGTTGTTTATTTTAGAAAAGCGCGTATATAATCTCTGATTATATTTATTATCACTTAATAATCGGTGCTTTTTCGTCTACAACTGTATATGGAAAGTCTAAATAAGAAACCTTTCATAATATTCATGGGAGAAATGTTTTTTTTCAGATTTTTTTTTAATGATGGAACTTTCAATTCTCTAAATTTTTCCGCATGTCAAAGAAAACATTTATTGATTCAGCAGAAATGATGAAAAAGGAAATTAGCAAAACCATGTACAGGTGGATATCATCTAGTGAGTTTATATGGCCATATTTTAATATTCTTGTGGTATATGGCTACACAGGATACTTTGTTAAGCATAGGAACTACATTTAAAGTGTCCCTAACAACCGTAATGAGTATAACTAATAAGGTGCTCCACTTTATGGTAAAACTGAAGTCAGCCTGTATCATTTTTCTCAAAAATGAAGCTGGAGTACAATAACAATATCCAATACCCGGCAAAATTCTAACTTGTCACATTTCAAATAATAACCAGAAATATAAAACTACTCTTGAGTTGGGTAAATACCACAATTTTGCGGTAATAACTATGACATATAACAGCTGATTCGTGACGTCACGGATCTTATAACCAAACTGATAACTACGCTCGCTTGAACGTATTGGTAAATACCAACCCAAAATGGTAAATACCATTTCCATTTGGTTATCCGCTTGAATTTGATTAGTGTGTCGTATAAAATATACATCTGTATGACGTGGATATGCCGTTTATCTGAGATCGATATGACATCCATGTACAGTCGCTCGCAAAAATAATCGTGGGGTGAATCTAACTGCTCCTGAAAAATTGATGATATGACAACGACGCCCCGCAAGAAGTCTTGAACCCTCTCGTTCCGAGACGTTGTTATCACCTCGGCAATTTTTCAGAAGCATTTCCACAAAGCGTATTGATGTGGTTAATAAAGAACTAAAAAACACCGTTTGATCTCAAACACGTTCCAGTCCTCCGATGGTTCAGCATTTGTTTGCATCAATTTGAATTTTTACCGCGCTTGATTAAACATATTCTAGTAAGACTCGTTTACTGTTATACAGAGGAGTTTCTAATAAATTTGTTATTACGAGAATAAAATGTGTGATTTAAAATGACAATTTCAAATATCTGATCATAAAATATTATTATTACAAAAGTCATATTAACAAGTTACTATTGTTCAAAGAATTCCTGATACTTTTCATCAATAACAATAAAGAAGTAGTATTTGGTTATCTAGTTTACCTTCCTGTTCATTAAAAGTCTATATTTTCTTTGTAGGTAAGTGTTGATTTTTCAGTACTGACTGTCCTAAATAAGATGTCAAAATGACGGCCTTTTAAACGACGTCTTGTTGTCGTAAAAATCGCGTCAATAAAAACGTCATTTCTTAGTCAATTCCGACCAAAAGTGACCGAATAATGACGTCATGTTGGTGTCATCATGTTCACTGGGATGTTTTTATTTTCAACCATGTTGTCTGATAAGGACTGACGTTGGAATGACAGTGAATGGAATTAACAGAACATTATTGGTTTGATCCCCGATAGCATTAAATATTTATTAAATATTTTTACAAAATGTTTGTTAAATATTTGTAGCGACAGATTTTTTAATATTTAATAAATATATATTTTCATACACTCATAAAATATTCATTATAGACATTTGTAGTATATATAATTCATATATTTTTCCGATATTTTTTCAAATATTTAGAAAATATATGAGGAAAGATTTTTAAATATCAATTTTATATTTTGACGAAATATCTAATATTTTTCGTAAATATGTATGGATTTTCAAACATTAATCTGATACATATTTTCAGTGTATATAGAAAATTTTTCATTGGTTATTTTACCAAAACCTGTAGGAATACTTCTATTAAATTGGGTTTATAAAGAAAATTCATTCTAGATATAATGCTTTCAGTTGCTAGAAAAATATTATTAAAAAAACATTCTAAGCCTCTTCTACATCTTGCAAGTCCACTCCTCTGAAAAAAAAAACCAATCATGAAGTATTATTGAATACATAAGCCGCTTTCCAGTGTATTTATGGGAATATAAAATGCAGTGAAACAATATCGGTGCTGAGCATGGTGAGTTACTCCGAGTAGCTCAACTGGGCCACCGAAAAGCAGCTCTATAATGCACCTAAAAGGACCCCAAATTTTCTGTATATGATAGTTCGAGATTTGGTTGATTTTTAAGAAAATTTGGTATGTTATTTTAGATATCTTTAAGAAAAATGTGCTTGGGCACAACTTGATCCTTTGACTAGCTTTTAAATAAAAGGTTTTTGAAAATAGACAACTATTGATTTTGTTGGAATTTGACTTTTTTAGTAAGGAAGCTTACTTAGCCATAACTATTCCGTGATTTTATATTATAATTCAAGGAAAAAACTATAGTATTTTCGACTGTTAAAATGTTTGAACGTAGGTATATGAAAAAAATAATGATAATAATTGAGATATTTAAAAAAAGCATTTTTCATGTATCTCGATCAAGTTGCGATTGTATGTCTTTTCATTGGGATGTTATGAACATAATTTTCGTATCCATTCTCAGATAAATCCATCAATACCAAATAACTGTTCCATTTCAAGGCTAGTTATTTATGGTCTTGAGAATACCTTTATACTCAGCTGGAGTAATAATGTTTGCTAGTCAGTTAAATTATGCTATATAATTATCAAAAAACTTGCCCTTTTCCACAAAAAAAACACCAAATAATGAACCACTTGGAGGTACACAGAGAGCACGCTATCATAGTGAAGGTCACAGGCAAACAAGTCGCCTCAGGCCGGTTTGCTATTATCCTATTGGTTGCTCGAGGTTACACGCACATGCGCCATAGCTGAAAATATTTAATGAATATTTTGTAAATATTGGAGATTTAATATTTTTCATTGATTGAAAAGTAAATATTTAATGAATATTGTAAAAGAGATATTGTATTTAAAATATTTAAATGATATTGAATGAATATTTAATAAAGATATTATATTTTAAGAAAGCAAATATTTAAGTAACATAAAAATATTATTAAGTATTAAATAAATATATAGTGAATGTTTCGTGCTATCGGGGATTCTTTTGGCAAAGATGACAATATGGAGATTATTCAATCAAATTCATTTTTTCCAGCCTTTCGCCAAATGTCAACCCTATCCCAACACCGAGCTATCCATTCCAGTGAGAGACCCTATGTCTGTGAGATGTGTCAAAAAACCTTTAATCGAGTTTCCACCCTTATTTCCCATAGAAAAACCCATACCGGCCTCAAACCTCATAGATGTCACTTGTGTTCCAAGGCTTTCCACCAAAAAGGTAAATCCTAAATTCTTTTGGAATACCGTCTTTGGTGATTTTCCTTCGGAGCAAACTGCCACGGAGAAATTGTGTATATTGCTCCGAATGACCACCCTGTAACACCTTACACGCGCCAACTTCTCATATACAGGGAAGACCAAATTTATCTGAAGGCAATGTATCAACACATATTAGAAAGAGATCACATTTCCTAGTAACGGTGACGCAGCTGGTCATGCAATGTGCCGCGTTGCCAATATGTTTTTTTTTTCTGTTTAGGATTTATTCAGCATGATTACTACAATTACATTCTTCGAAAAACTAAACAATTACATAACATACAGAAATTTAGAAAAGAACAAAATTTCCATCTCTAAAAATTTTCACTGTCCATGACTGAAATATTCCTTTAATTTTCTTTTAAACATCTTTAAATTACAAGTAGACTTTATGTCATTATTTAGGTTATTAAATTCAAGTGATCCTTTCTGAAATATTGATTTGCTAGTTATATTACTATTGCAATTTTGTAAATGAAAGTCTATATTTCCTCTTGTATAATGATTATTCAATTCTATGTAGTGTTCTAAAAGTTGTGGCAAAAGATGATTTTTTTATATTAAATATAAAAATAAGGACCAAATATGATATAAGATGTTTCGTATTCAACCACAGCAATTCTTGTATTATATTATATATAATATTATATATAATTATTATATAAACTATTTTCTTAAAAATATTTTTCTTAGAAAGGTGAAAACGCTGGCCGCCATGTTTGGCACATGTATTAATATGCTCTGAGGTCATACTTCTTGTAAATAGTAGCTGACAGCAGTATAACCTCTCAAACTTTTGAACATGTAAACATAAATTCTACTAGTTTATTTGAAAAATATAGTGATTATCGTTGTTGTGTAGTCCGAGAATGTAAAAACACCTCTATAAAGATCCAAGGAGGGCTGTGGAATAGAGTGCTCAGGGAAATACCGTTTTACATTAAAAATAAGCAGTATATTTCTTTTAAATTGGACTTATACAGGGTGTAAACGTTATGGTAGTCAAAAAGGTCAGTAGATTTTTGTCTAAATGGCTTTATAGTGCCTGATATCGACCACAATCACCACAAACATACTAATTTTTATAATCTAATATAAAACGTTTTTAAATTGGGTAACTAACAAATAAATTTATTTAAGTTTTTCTAAGTTAAGCTAAAATGTCTAGTCAGTAAGTAAGTTTCATTAAATTAAATATTTGAAATACACATTACAACAGCGCGTCGGTCTTTCATCACACTTATCGAACCGGCAGTCGATGACAAACGGTAACAGTTATTGTTTTGCATAGATAAATTACTTTATCCTTTTTTCGAGCAGAGCATCGGACGTGTTGTTTTGTTTTTGTTCGCGTACGTCGTCGTGTTTATTTACAATGTTCTCGAATCAAGAGTTCGCCGACATGTTGTTAGTTTACGGTGAAGCTCGTCAGAATTCAAATCTTGCAGCTCAAATTTAACGCGACAGATTTCGCCAACGGGTACACCCAGACAGAAGGACATTTGTACAAGTGTACCAAAGACTTACAGGAAGTGTTCAGCCCACTAATAGTCGCACTCGTGAAAGACAGGTTACTGTAGAGCAGGAGGAACACATTTTAAATACCGTGGAAATCAATGCAGATATCAGCACTCCGGAATTAGGCCGCCGCGTAGGACTATCGCATATCATAGACCATAGAATCCTACGGGAAAACTTGCTTTGTCCCTACGATGTACAATGAGTGCAGGCCTTGTTACCAGAAGACTATCCCCTACTGAGCGAGGGCCGTGGCAAATGCTTGTTCCGGAAGTCGTTGTATCCAGTATACAACTTCTTCCCGTCCAAGTGATTGCGCACGCGTTAAGGAATACCTCAGTACCGATTGCCGGGTGGCGGTACAAGTCCGCCAACGGGCCACTTTAGGTCTATTTAACATCACTAATACGTAAAAAGAAGGTGGTAGACAAGGACCAGTCGACCGAGGCAGTACCACCCGCTAGCTTTTCCCAGGGTGTCTTATAAATGTCCGCATGTTTCCACACCTAAGCTATGCAGTCGGTTATCTACCAAAACAAAGAAATTAATGATGATGGATCCCTCGAGCACTAAAAACTCCGGACGTAAACTCACTCCACTCTCGGAATGTCCGGGTGGAGGGTGGGCTCGAGGGAACAACATCGAAGATAAAATTTGTTTTTCGAACATCTGCGGGATCAACAGCAACATTGATGCTGTTCATCACTACCTGCAATCCAATCGTCCCGCCGTGCTTTTCTTGGCGGAGACAAAAATCTCAGAGGCTGCACCGATTAACCATCTCAACTTCCCAAACTACGAGGTGCACTCCAATCTGAGAAAGAACGGGGGAGTTGTGGCTTTTGTCCGCAGCAGTCTTTCCTGCTCCAGGGATCTTTCTTTAGAATCAGACCGGAAGGACATTCTGTGGCTTCGCCTCAACTCCAAAACATCACCCAAATTTATTTGCTGCCTTTATCGCTCTCCCTCGAACCATAACTGGGATGACCTACTCGAATACCTCGCCGTCCAGATCGACTTCCTGAACATCAATCACCCCGCTTCAGAGGTAGTTCTTCTCGGTGATTTCAATGCCCATAATGAGCTTTGGTTGGGCTCAAACAAGACCGATGCAGCAGGTCGTGCAGTCGAAGCGTTCGCTCTTACTCAAGGGCTGACCCAGCTGGTGACGAGCCCTACTTTTTTCCCCCGCGTCTCGTCACACGCCAGTAGCCTGCTAGATCTCTTTCTGACCACGCATCCTGCCCCTTACAGCACTGCCGTCCTGTCCCCCCTGGGTAACTCAGATCACGGTGTTGTGGAGGTTAGGTTTCGGTCAGAAGCCGCTGTGGCCGCAGAAAGTCGCACAGGCCGCAAAACTTGGCATTACGGACATGCCGACTGGGAGGGGCTCAGAGACTTCTTCTCTAGCTTTCCTTGGAGAGATGTCTGTTTCACTGACGCGGATGCGTCGACTGTCTGTTCTTCAATAACCGAAATTATCCACGTCGGAATGGAGGAATACATCCCTCACACAGTGAAAGTTCCTAAACCAGGGTCCAACGGCTGGTTCAACAAATCGTGTGACACTGCTCGCCAGCAGAAGATCAAGGCCCACAGAACCTACTTACAAAACCCCACTGTAGAGAACAGACAAGCCGACGTCGAGTCCAGAAACAAATATAACGAAGCGGTTCGCAATGCCAAAACCCAGCATGATATAAAAGTTAGGCACAGGGTAATGTCGCAGCGCAATGGCAGTCGGTCTTTCTGGACGCTGGCCAAGCAGATTGAAAAGAACTTCTCACACAGTAGCCTTCCACCACTTACGTGTCAGGATGGAACTATTGTATTCGACTCAAAGGCCAAGGCAGAAGTGCTAGCCAAGATCTTTGCTGCCAACTCCACCATGGACGTCCCCACCAACGCCCAAGTGCCGTCAATTCAAAGGGTTCCCCACACTATGCGGGAGGTAACATTCAGGCATAAGACCGTAAGACGAGTGCTCTTGTCGCTCGACATCAACAAAGCTTCTGGTCCGGACTTGATTCCTGCCATTGTACTGAAGAGATGTGCAGCTGAGCTTGCTCCAGTTCTTTCGCGTCTCTTCCAGATATCTTATGAATCCGGCACCTTCCCAGAAAACTGGAAATTTGCTCATGTACAGCCCATCCCAAAAAAAGGATCTAAAACCGACCCTTACAACTACAGGCCTATAGCTCTGCTTTCTGTTATAAGTAAAGTGATGGAGAGGTGCATAAATCGCGAGCTTCTGGACTACCTCGAACGTCACAGCTTGATTAGCGACAGGCAGTACGGTTTCCGGCACCAACGATCCACAGGGGACCTCCTAGCTTACGTCACGCAACTGTGGAGTAAACTCATCCAGTCTCATGGTGAGGCTCATGTCGTTGCTCTTGACATCACGAAAGCGTTCGATCAGCTGTGGCACGCTGCCCTCTTAAGCAAACTTCCATCCTACGGCCTCCCAGAAAAGCTTTGCAGATGGGTGGCTGACTTTATCTCTGGCCGCAAGATATCCGTCGTAATTGACGGATTCTCCTCTTCATCCCACAACGTCAACGCGGGTGTTCCCCAGGGATCGGTCTTGGCTCCAACACTGTTTCTCTTACATATCAACGACCTCCTTTCCTGCACGATCAACCCAATCCACAGCTTCGCTGATGACAGCACTCTACATGCAGGAATTCAGAGTGACAAGCCGATCTCTGCCGCTGAGCTGGAAAAAAGAAGACTAGCGACGACTTCTTCTCTGACAAGAGACCTGGAGGCTATCACTGCTTGGGGACGCAACAATCTTGTACAGTTCAATGCTTCCAAAACACAGTACTGTACCTTGACGAACAAAAAGCGTCCTAGCGCTCATACAGTTTCGATGGACGGTCGAGTTCTACCAAAGAGCCACTCATTTCGGCTGGTCGGAGTCCAGATCACCGAGGACCTGATCTGGCACGAACACATCTCTTCAATAGCTGCAGCTGCTGGGAAAAAGCTGGGCTATTTGTTTAGGGCTAAGAAGTACTTTTCTCCGCATGACTTTCTCACTCTATACAAGGCCCAGATAAGGCCTAGCCTCGAGTATTGCTCACACATTTGGGGTGCTGCCGCCCCGACTACATTGTCCATGCTCGATGCTGTCCAGAGGAGGGCGGTCCGACTGATCGATGACTCTTCTCTAACAGACAGTCTCGGGACTCTTTCGCACCGGCGGGCCGTCGGCGATCTAGCTCTTTTCTATCGCTACACCAACGGGCTTTGCTCCTCAGAGCTCTCTTCCATGATGCCGCCGCGCGATGCGCCTGCCAGACAGACCCGCCTGACTTCGGCATCCCATCCTAACCGTGTCAAACTTCGTACATCCAGAACTGGCCGATACGACCGCTCCTTTGTCCCGAGGGTGTCTAGATTGTGGAACAATCTACGGGAGGAAGCTTTTCCCAG